TAAGAGACATAACAATTTTATAGGAGTTGAAAGTGTTGTGAATTAATAACTAATCAGTCTAGAAAGAGACAATTTGAGATTAAAACTGGTATCAGTGGCCTCACGGGGAGAGACTTAGCCAAAGTTCAGACGGATTATGTTCATACTCTAACTGTCACAGAAGCAGAGTATTGGCTCAGTGCAACCTTGACTCCATTCACCCTCCATTTAAGAAGCATCCATCATTCCTTGAACAGATTCAAACTTTATAAGATCTTTACTGCACAAAATCACCTCCTTCAAGATTTACACCAAAATAAAATTGAAAGAGCTCGAATGGAATTCAATCTTTAGAAACAATACTACAAAAGCATTACAGCTGCATTTAATAATACTTTATATATTTTATATTTTTTATTTCAGCTCAGCTTTGTTTAAATAGTACCAAATCACAACAAAATGTTGCTTGGCACCAGCAGGAAGGAAAAACTCCCTTTTAACAGGAAGACAGGACAGAAGACACACTAATCTAGTAGAGAGGGTGTCTGTCTGCCAAATCCAAACTGGGAGCTGATTCCACAGAAGAGAGGTCTGAGAGCTAAATATATACCAGTACCAGTACCAGTCTTCATTACCAATTAACTACCACTCATCAGTGAACACTTGCTGTATGTGCAATTGATACCACAATCATCCTTTTAAAATAATGATGTCAAAGTGGGGATAATTTACAGAAACCCACAAACAGTTCAATGCACTGGCCTGAACAAAGTCATTCTTTACGTAAGTATTTGGCAGGTCTCAAATTATCATTAATCTAAACAAAAAGGTTGAGGTTCCTAACCTAGATTCTTAAAGTAAGACATCTCTTATGCAAAAAAAAATGAAATAATAAAAAAACATTCATCTATTCAACTAAGTAGGAAAAAGGTTAGGTTGAAAGTTTTCCTTTCAAAGTCAAAGCAGATCAAACCTCAAAACACTAGCGTGCATGAGCCTTCGCATTTGTGTATGATCAACACTTCCAGTTGAGGTTACTGACTCTGGGCTGAACGGGAGACGCTTGCATGTGCTTTGCAGAGAGGTTTACACTCGATCAGTTTTTCTCTGGCGATTCGAGGAAGCATTTCTGTGGAAGTGACCAGGGAGGCTGTGATTCACCACGTAACCATCGATTCTGTCACTTCTCCTAAACCTGAGAGATGTGCACATGCATAAACACAGAAGCGATAGACGGTCTGTGACGCAGTCCCATGAACCTGCTCTGTATTGTCAGCAGTGGGAGAACTATTTCGATCCTTCACCGAAAAGTACAAGTTTTGCATGCATACAGTGTATGGCTGCTTTTGCTGTGTGTTGTTAAATCTTAAAGCATAGCAAAATATTTTTAAATATATTTTTTCAAGAAGTCTCAGATATTTCCTTCAGATAACTCCTTCAGTAATATCTGATGGAGAGCAAAAACAGAACTAAAATAATTGAATACTGAACTGACTCTGAGGTGAAAATACACCTGACTAAATAACTTCTTATGCTTCATGTCTGCTGTGTCAAAGGCCAGCAGAGGCCATTCTACCTTCTCCCTGTGTGTTCTCTGGCTGTATTGACCATGGGTGTGAAAGTGAGCCTCAGTGGTTGTCTCTGTGTTAGCCCTCTGACAGACTGACAACCTGTCCAGGCTGTGCCTCACCTCTCAACCCATGGAAGCTGGGATAGTCTCCAGCCCCCCCAAGACCACCATCCTGAATTGGGTAAGCAGGAGAAAATGGGAGGATGATAGGTTTTAGTAAAATGAGACAATCTTTTGGTGGCAAAATCAAACCATTGTTTCAAAAGTGAAAGCACTTATCAGGTAAACGAGGATGTCTGATATTAAAATTACTATTAAATTTGTAAAGTAGGTCAGTTTACTTAAAGGTTTCTTTTTTATCACGGTCCATCCTTGACCCAGCATGCATATCATTGTTTCATCGTTATGCAGATGACTCACTGATTTACCAGCTACTGAAACGTAAATCCATGACTCCTCCAAGGGCCTCAGTGGACTGTGTAAAGCAGGGGTGTCAAATATACGGCCTGGGGGCCAGAATTGGCCTGGCAAAGACTCCAATCCAGCCCACTGGACACCTTTGGAAAATGTGAACAACTGCATAGATTTTTACCTGCGTTTTCACAGTTTTAAAGCTTTTTCTATTGATAAAGACCAACCCTGCCATTGCCATTCATACTACACCAAAGTAATAGATAAACAATTACATTTTCTGTGAATTAACAACAACGTTATATTTCATAATTACAGTACGATGTGGGCAATGAACTAAGAGAATGTTTTATGTAATCACATAGTTCGTTCCAGCCCACTTAAGATCAAAGTTGGTTGTTGTGGCCCATGACAAAAAAAAAGACTGATGTTAACATAATTTTGTTAATCATTGTGACTGGAACTCCTAACCTCCACAATCTCTGCCTTTTGAGGATTTATATTTTTTTAAATAAACACGTAAATAAATACATAAATGCTCTCATTAAAGTTAGCTTTTTTCAGCTACCTGCAAAGGTAAAGCCATTTCTGAGCTTCAGAGACTTTCAGATGGTAATCCATTCCTCAGTTTCATCTCGACTTCATTTTTTGTAACAGTTGTCCAGGTGTCATTGCTTACATGGTCAACTTTAACTAGATCCAAAACCCAGATGGCTGTTAATTGGCACATACAAACAAGACCTCATGTCCCCCATATTTGCTTCCTTACACTTCCTTACACTGGGTGTCATTTGGTTTTATTTTTACTCACTTTATGTTTTTTTTTTTTTAAACCCTTTGTTTTTGTTCTGTGTTTCAGCACTTTGGTGCACTTTCAAAGTGACCATTCTATCAAACATATGTGTACGTGCATGCATGTGTTTGATGTCTCCTGCTCTTGTGTGCTGGCTCCAAACCTCCCCTCAGTGTCTGTTCCTCCTCCTTTTGCATCTGCCTGATGAGCTCTAAGTGTCAATCTCAAAGAGAAAGAAAGGGTAATCGAGCTATCGCTCTCCTGTTTACTCTTTGTGCTTTGTTCCCAGCAGCAGCAGAAGCACAAATGGTGTACACATCCATAAACATTATTCTATGTGCGTATATAGTGTGCGTCATGGAGGAAGTCCTCCCACGTGTGTTATGTATATGAATGAAAGGCTTTTTACAAAGTGAACAGCTCCACCCCAGGAAATCCATGACTGTACTTTCCAGAAATAGAGTATTACTTGCTTAAGGTGGAACTACTGCATCACCAATTAGTTTCCAGAAGAACCCAAATATGGCAGACTGGGTTGTGCTGCCTGTTGGCAGGACTACTTGTAGATGAACCCATTCTCAAAGCTATGCAAACATGTGGTTCATCAAAGTGGCGCGTTCAATTTCCCACGCTACAATGTACATGCAGAAAATTCTGACGTGCTTGCACGCACACACACACACACGCACACGCACAAATGGACCATAGGCAGAGCAATAGAACAAGGTGTGGGCGTTGTGACGCAAGAAATATGAGTCACTCTGACACAAAGCGGTTATAACAGAAGCTGCTGTGATAGTATTACCTCTCCAGCAGGTCAGATGTTTTTTGTTGTTGTTGTTTTTTGTTTTTGTTTTATTTAAGAAATGACCAGAAATGGTGATACACATGACTTTAAATCTGAAACCTCTCTTGGGACGTGTTATCAGGTTTATGGGTAATTATAGGACTCCAGCGATAGATTGTTCCTCTAAACTCAGAGATATGATGATGCAAAAGGCTGTAACTATAGCAACACAAATCTGCCATCCGAGAGAGGCACTCTGCCATGTACCCATGTTGCATTTTCAGCATTTCACTTTCGAAAAGGAGAGAAGACGGGGCAGGGAGAATGAGAAGAAGGAGAAATTTTTTATTTTTTTTTGTAACTGACATTTAAATGTGTTTGTGAAGGTTTTGGTTAACATAAGCCCCTCTGTGCCACAAGACTGTGTAAATAGTTTGTTTGTAAAGGCCAGCTTTTCACGTGATTCCCTCTGAGAGCTTTACTTTCAAATCAAATGCAATATGATCTAGAAGCGGGCAAACTCCTGCTGCACTGCCCAGCTCTTCCACAAGAGGGGGTGAGCTCTGCCTTTACCTTGAGCAGCTGCCAAGTACATAGCGAACTATTGCCCAATCCTGTTTGTCACATCAGTGGGGGGGGGAAAGGCAAACCTGATAGAAGGTTGCAGCATTCTCCAGGGATATAGAGGTCTTATTTGAACAGAGATTAGACAGCTGCCTCGCTTGATAATTCAATGCGAAACACTGACTTTTCCATGTTGTTGCACAGAGGAAACACAAGCCTATAAAGTTACACAATTGTGAGCGTTGCCAAGGTGCAGTTATTGGGTTTTCTATTTGTGCCATTAGTATGGAATAAGACATTAACACTGGGTAATGCTTGGGAATAATTGCCCCCTCAAACTGCTTGCAGACTTTGTTAGCAAACACTACGGGGCACTTGGATAACACACCCGCACACATGCACACAGGCACTGCACAGATGGGAGACAGATGTTTCATAGACAAGGTCAAGGAGTCCATAGAGTAATTGTCTGCTCCACCATTTCTCAGTATTCTCTGCATTGTTTGGATCACCACATCCACATAAATCCTGGAAATTTCCTCTGGAATGGAAACCATTCCAGTTTTGCTCTTGTAGACCTGTACAGCGTTTTCTTTTCATGTTTTATCTCTAGCACAAACACACACACAAACACACAATTAAACACACACATTAGGACTTTTCATCCAGGCAAATGTTGACATTAAATCTAAAGAAACTTAAATCCATCCCAGTTAAATCTAGTCCTGGATTGTTGTTTCATTTGTTATCGTCCTCTTTCTGGAGGTTTCCTGGGTGTTTAGAGAAAGTGCTGAGGATGAGTGCTACAGAGGGATGATGGAACATAAGGAGAGGAGGAGAAGTTTCTAATCTCATTATCTCTGCCTAAACTAATCCACCACAATCGATACCGCCAAATCATCAACAAGCTTTTACATATATTGTACCCATCACAACACAGACACAAACCTCTGTGTGAGATATATGCTTTGTAATTTAAGGTGAGGTAAAGATGTCGGATATGAAAGACGCACTCCTGCTGGGATCAGAAGGAATTAAGAAAACCATCCTGCATGGAGGGAGTGGAGACATTCCAAAGTTTGTCACAGGAGTGAAGGTACTGTAGGCCGACTTCATTTAAACTTTTGGATTATTCTACCACGGATAGGCATAAAAAAAACATTTGACTTCATATTGTCTCCGGAGCCCAAAATGAATCGTATTTGACCATTTTTCATGTGATAGGTTAAATTAAAACTATAACTCACAAAGCGAGAAATATAACTCATACTAAAACTGCGGTTTTAATATGTGCACTTAATTATCATAGAGTCATCAGCATCACAAAACCATGCAGACGAAGGAAGGGAGCGACTCTGTGTTATAACACTGTTGTCTGTGGCTAATTTTGATTTTAAGCAGAGCAGATGTACCTTTTTTTTATTACAAAGGAACATGACTGTCTGCACAATGAGTTCAGGAGCTAACTGTGTGTTGCACTTCCTCGAAGTAGTATTTTAATATACACAAAATTAACAATAAAGGAACACAGTTCAGAAAGTTGAACAACAGAGTACAGAAGTTCATATATTTAGCTTTTTAAATATATGAACCATTTGATGATAATGGTGCTGACGATGATGGCCTTCTTACTTGCAATTTATGGATTTTATCTCCATACTTTGTGCTTATTATTTAATAATTCAAAGCGCCGCAGGAGGGGCAAAGAGGGATGAGCATGCTCAAGTTACTGTAGTTCCCAAGTTATTGCCAGTAGAGGTCGATAGAAGATGTAGCGGTTTATAACATTTTAATGAGATTTTAATTTTATTTTATGACAAAATAAATTATAAGAACATTCTTCAAATGAGAACTGAATTTGAAAAAATGGCTTGGACGTTAAAGACGTATGAAGTTCTCCTTATCTCAGTTACATTATGTGTCACTCCTGATCGAGGCTAACTGACTGTCTCATACCATGTTCTTGTGTTTTCCTAATAATGTTTACTACTCGTTTCTCATGTGCCACTGAAGCCTTTCACAAGGGTCATGAACTCATTGATGAATTGTACTGGTGCTGCGCATTAAAGAACTGGTTTTTCTTTGTTACTACAGCTTGCACACAGTTCTTTTAAAAGGTTTCCATTCCTTAGATATTACAGAACCAGGCAAACTTGGCATGTGTGACCTTCCTCCTGTCTGTCTCCTTTGTTGAGTAACTGAGCTGTGTGAAGCTTGTGACGTAACATTTTTGTTGAGATGCTCAAATTTCACTGTTATTCAGACCCATATTTCACCATAATATCTTTTCCCATCACTGAGGTTTGAATACTTCTGTAAAGTACTGTGTAAAAATCTTAAGTCAACCTTAATTTCTTTATCTTTTGCTTCCAAGGAGCCAGACTTTTTTGTCATTTTTAAAGTGGTCTTGAGGCTTTCTGAAGCTCTTTTAAAACTGTTCCTTTGGACATTGGCTGCTTTTACATTTTCAGCCCAGTCCTCGTCATATAAAAAGGCACCTAAGTCAAGAGATCAACCAGTGTTGTGGCTACACACAACAGTCAATGTAGCAAAGAAACTATTTTAAATTGTGTCTTTAGGCACTTTTTTACCAGCAGCCTGTTGCAAAAGCAAATCATTTGTTCCCATTTCTTTTGTTGAATCTATAAAAAATGCCAAAGATAACACAGTTTGACCGACATAAAATTTTATTTTTGCACCAACAGGTGATTGCCAAAGAGCTGTTAGCTGAAAACTTATCTTAACGAGGTATATCTCCTCGTGGTATACAGTGTGTCCCTGAAAGACTTTAGAGACACCGGACAACATAAACAGTATCTGAAATTCATGTCTTTAAGAATAGGAGAAGATCTGAGGCCTCATCTGAAATCAGTTGAAGGGTGGCTGTTAATAAGCTATTCTTATAGAAGGGAAAGAGGAGGGGAAAAGGCTGAGGGGTGCAAAACTGCACAAGAACTGGACTGAAAATCAGGTCCAACAGGTTTGATGGAGTGATGAATTCAAATTTGACATTTTTGGTTCAGCTCAGGAGAACACAGAGGCTCTTTAGTGGTTTGAGGGTGTTGGGGATCTTGTTAAAGTTGGTGAAATTCTGACTGCAGATACGTTCAGGCAGATTTTGATCCATCATGCAGCACCATCAGGAAAGCATTTGATTGATAGTGGCTTCATTTTTGTACAAACCTTCTATATTGTGTTTTTCCATTACGTTTGCACATTTCAATAAAACATTTAACTATTTCCTATTTTCCTAGCAAATATGAAAAAAATAAGAGGCGACTCTACTGTATATAGCAGATTCACACGGCATGGGCCTTTTTTCCTTACTATTTATCCAGGTGACCTTCCACTTCCGCACGCAGCTGTGTGACGATGAGCGCACGGTGATAGATGACAGCAAAGTGGTTGGAACACCTATGGAGATAGTGATTGGCAACATGTTTAAACTGGACATCTGGGAGACCCTGTTGTCCTCTATGAGGATCGGTGAAGTGGCGGAGTTCTGGTGTGACACCGTTGTAAGTGCTAATAAAAGCTTTGGTTTTGTATTTATTTGATTGCACGCTCCCTAATTTTGTGGATTACATCCTGTTGATCCAAACTTAGTCTGAAAAGTGTGTCCGTGCAGACAGAATGACATCATGCTGCAGATGTGTGAGTTATAAACAATGCTTAAAATAACAAGGAAACAAAATAACACAGGATGAGATATGTTTCAGATATAGCAGTTGAAGGTTAAGGTATATATGGGACACACAAGTCTTCATAACTTGTGGGTTAGAAGAAAAACGAAATCATCATTTTGTGCTTTTAAACAAACATTCATGCAGCAATAATAACAAGTCGGGTACCGGCTAAAGTTTTACTTTTAATTCATTGAATATATTATTGTTTTTATGAATAATGTCATCTCATACAGATAAACAAAGACAGATAAAAACAAACTGATAAACAGATCGATCCCTGCAACAGGCTTTATAACATAGATATGCTACCTCAGAATATGTTGTCACATGTTATGTAATCCATAACTTTTTAACTTTTTTATGCTAGCGCACGTGTGTGTGTGTGTGTGTGTGTGTGTGTGTGTGTGTGTGTGTGTG